TTTTTTTCCATAATATGCTGTTTTTAGTGTTTTTTAGGTCTTTGTGTTATGAGTGATAAAGTGTGTTTGTTTGGTGAAAACCTTATTGTTATGGAAGAATGACTTGATTTGAGAAATTAATGAAGTGAATTTTGTTAGTTTTAGTACATTTTGAATGTGAAATGAACTGCTATGTCAAGTTGAAAGATGGTTAGGAGAACTGTGTGAAGAGTTTTGAAAAAGTGACTTTAGTATTGAGAAATGTGTCTTAGCGATTGTAAAAAAAAAACTGTAATGTGATTCAACATCAGATCATCTAAAACAATCATCAGCCTTACTGTGAATGTGTGTTGTTGTTTGTTCTTTTTAATTTAACATTGTTTTATGTTATGCTGATGAACTTCAGAAGCTTGTAGATTCAGTGTCACAATTGAATCTCATTCTCATGTTGTATAGAGTTTAGGAAGATGATGATATTCAACTCACCCTTCACAGTGAGAGAAACAGAACTTGGTTGTGATGAGACTGAACATCCATCCATCCATCCTCTACACGTGTACTGATCCTGATCAGACTCAGTAGCTTCTCTGATAGTGAGAGTGTCTCTATTTACAGTGTAACGATCAGACGTCTGTAACATTACACTGTCTTTATTCCACTCATATCTCCAGTCACTGTGATCAGAGTTTATCACACACGTCAGAGTGACTGTTTCTCCAGTGAACACAGGACTGTCTGGAGTCACAGTCAGTGTAGATCTGGGTGAATCTGTGAACAGAAGAAAACAGACTCTGAACTGAATATCTGACTTCATGTAACTTAATGCTGATAGTGATGTAATTATGAGTAAAATGGTTACATTATAATAAAAGTTATAATAAAATGTTTTTATTTGTTTACTTGTTTTGTCAATTCAACTGGATTTTGAAATAAGAAAGTTATTAAAATATAATTGTACAGTTCCTGTAGGTGGGACTGTTTTCAGTCAGAGGTTTCAATAAAGCATTTATTTTAAAGAGATAGTAATACTTTTCAGAGAAAATGGAAAACTTGCATCTAACTTCTAGCTGTCTGTTATCAGCCTCCTACAACCAACACCATAATGAATGAACAACATTAAGTGTAGTTGGTGCACGAGATCTTAACCCTTCACTGTTTATTTACAGGCTTACATGGCAGAAAATTTTCCAAGGACACCTTCATAATTATAAAAGTGTTTAAGAATATGTTTAGTACTCGTAGGTGCCATTGGAACTTCCATTAATTTTTTTCCTGTATTTTTTTACTGTAATCAAATGTATGTTTAATTATTGAAATCATAAAACTTATTCATTACCAACAATTTATTAAAAATATATGGTCATATGAAATGTCATCCATCCATCCATCATCTATCTATCTATCTATCTATCTATCTCTGTGGTAATCAAATTATGACTGTGTCACAGACCTCCAGTGCTCCACTTTGAGAACCCCTGGTCTAGGGTTGCACACTCAGAATGTTTGGTGTTTCCCACTACTTCTGCTACTTCTTCTTCTGTAATATCAATCACTTTGTGAATGTTTTTACTCTACAGTTGTTCAGTTTTGATGGGGTTTTTGGTATTTACGTTTACATAAATTAGTTTTTTTTTTTTCATAATACATTTTTAAAAACTTTTGATGTAAATTCTAACTTTCATTCATGGAGATGACATGGACAATGTGCTGTGGTTTAGTGGTAGATTGCTGCCATAAAACAAAACATAAAACTTAAACTACAGCCACTAGATGGCTGCAATGATCACTCGCTGACTCATTTAGATTTATGTTGAGACAACTTTGCTGAGACAAAGTTGAGACAACTTTTACTTTGATTTGTGCTAATGTGCCATTTCTGCAATTATGTTACAATATTTTGACAAATTATGTAACTAAGAGAAATTCTTTTGTCACTGTTTACACGTTTACGTTGCGATACTCATGTCATTATACACATTTGTGTCCTCATAAACCATGAATGATGGATCACCAGAGTTGTTTTATAGTGTTGCAACTCCATTTCTCTGAATTTGTTTTCTGCTTTGTGGCTGATTTAGTGACTTTATTTGACTGACCGACCGACCGACCGACCGAACGAACAAATAAATAAATAAGGCCATGATTTTATCAGCCATTCATTTCCACTGCAGGGTCTGGGGAGACACCGAACATCCTAAATGTGAGTGTTATCTTTTATTTATCTAAAGGGATTAAGAATTAATGGCACAGAGTCATTTATTACAGTGTAAATTATTGCAATAAATCATAAACTGGTGTGATCCATGTAGACAAATAAACTATTACAACACAATTCACATTTGTTTAATAAATCAAATTTACCATGGTACTACCTTGAGTGAGTCCAGAGTGGATGAAGAACATCAGCACTAAAAGCAGAAGAAACACAAATGAAAGATTTCCATTGATTCAACACAATGCAGATCAATGAAACCTGTCTAGAGTTTCAACTGAAAGAGTTTTTCTGTGTTTTGATGCTCATCCATGAGAACCTAATGTTTATTCTTTGCTTTTATTGTTGTGATTATTTTTATGATTATTTTTATTCCTTTTTATGTAATGCACTTTGAATTACCATTTTGTACGTGTATATATATATATATATACACAAATGAAAGATTTCCATTGATTCAACACAATGCAGATCAATGAAACCTGTCTAGAGTTTCAACTGAAAGAGTTTTTCTGTGTTTTGATGCTCATCCATGAGAACCTAATGTTTATTCTTTGCTTTTATTGTTGTGATTATTTTTATGATTATTTTTATTCCTTTTTATGTAATGCACTTTGAATTACCATTTTGTACGTGTATATATATATATATATATATATATATATATATATATATATACATATTTATATTCAAATATGTAATTCAAATGGAAAGTGTGTCATTATGTAGTAAAACACTTGCACATTCGCAAACACACTACAAGCAAATATGAACATTATTGTGATCATTGTTTTACATGACTGATCCTTCACTGGAACAGAACAAACTAGACTCCAAACCACATCAGGTCAAAGTGTTTGAGAAACACAGAGCCTCACTTCCTGTTTGACGCTGACAACATCGACTTAACCCTCATGCTGTTTTAATGTTATCACATTGGATTAAAACTTACTGACTTTGCTCACACAGGGTATAACAACTTCCTAACGCCACCCTTTGTCAACTTGTTTTATAATTAGGACAGGCTTTGTATTTATTTTTAAAAACTGATTGTAGGCATCATTGATCTGAGCCCAAAGCACACTAGTGTGATGAACAGTGCAAATTATTCTCATATTTTATTAAATTGACAAAATTATCCAGAATTTTAGTTTTTTTGTTTTTTTGAAAACTGATGCAAAAGCTCAGATTAATGACCCCTACGATCAATCAGTTCCAAAAACAAATAAAAATTATGTCCTAATTGAAAAAAAAAAAAAAAAAGCTGACAAAAATATTGAATCCAATATTTGGTGTTAATATAGTATAACATGAGATTTACAAGCATTTTTTTAAAAGGCTGGCCATTTTGGACTGGGAAAACTAAATGCGCTATATCGGGTTAATTGTGACATTATAGTGGCCATGAAAATAATTTGAACACTTAGGGTGTTTTCACATAAACTGTATTTTAAATGAACCAAACCCAGTTCAGTTAAAGTGAACAAAGGGAACCAGCTGCGAGTGACTTTAGTGCTCTTTGGTGTTCACAATGTAAATGGACTTAATAGAACCATGAAAGGACTCAAAATGATGTGGTCTGAGTATATATATATATATAAGTATATTAGGGAATAATAAATATGTCAAGCATTATGGAACATGTTCATATGTTAATGTACTGAACTACAGCTGGGGTTCCCCTTCAGGAACTCGAGCTGCACCGGAAAACGCTATGGGAACGCCTTCAGCGTGACCACGCTCTGAATCACATGTGTAATCAGTCCACTGGAAGGGCGAGACGTCACAGGCGGGTGACGCAGTGACTAGGAAGCTATAAAAGCACGTGAGGTGGAACTGGCGTCAGCTTTCTGTCATTCAGCAAGCCCTATGTGTTGTGTCAGTCATACTTTCTGTTCTGTGAGTCTTATTTGATGTTGTTTGTCTGAAAAACAAAAGAAATATCATGGCAAAGGCTACAGAGAAAACAAAGCATAAGGTCGAAAGCGAACAGCGTTTCAGGCTGTGTTCCTCCCTGCCCTCGCTACATCATGAGCGGTGATACACACAGTCTGTGCGTTGTCTGCTTGGGAGCGAAGCATGTGGAGTCGGCTCTCAAGGGGGCCGAATGTCCGCACTGTGAGCGGATGTCACTGCGCTCGCTTCACTCCCGGAAAGCTCTCTTCGAGAAGGGAGCCTTCACCAGTGTTCCTCGCGGTGCGGGTCCCGCTTCAGCCGAGGCTGAGCGGCGGCTGCATTAGTGGGGTTCGCAATTGGATTAGGCGGAGGGAATGGAGTCGGGCGAGTCCCTATCTCCTTCCTCACCTGCCAGATCCGTTGCCCGCTCTCTGTGATCGGAAGCACGCTGTGCGAGGTATGGCGGCCTTCTTGGCAGGTGTGTCCATGCAGGACATCTGCAACGCAGCGGGATGATCCACGCCCCTCACGTTTGTCAGATTCTATGACCTAGATATGCGAGCTTCTGTTCTCTTGTCCTAGCTGTGCTCTTCCACACTAAGCAGGAATTTGCAAGTCTGTCGGCGTGGGCATACTTGTTCCCATAGCGTTTTCCGATGCAGCTCGAGTTCCTGAAGGGGAACGTCTCCAGGTTACGTATGTAACCATGGTTCACCGAAGGGAACGAGACGCTGCGTCTCAGGGCCATACTTCCGGCATCCCTATGAGCGTTTGCTTCATTCCAAGAAGCTGACGCCGATTCCACCTCACGTACTTTTATAGCTTCCTGGTCGCTACGTCACCCGCCTGTGAAGTCTCGCCCTTCCAGTGGACTGATTACACGTGATTCAGAGCGTGGTCACGCTGAAGGCGTTCCCATAGCATTTTCCGACGCAGTCTCATTCACTTCGGGGAACCATGGTTACATGTTACCTGGAGACGTTTTTTCTGCTAAGAACTGGAGGAGAACTGACTTTACACATCCACTAAAAATGACACTGAGACAGACAAACTGGTTAAAAATACGTGAAAAGTGTCTCAGAAAACAGAAGTTAGTTCTGAGAAAAGCTTGAGCATCATTTGTTGGCAGATGCTGCTTCTTTGACATTGTGTTTAATGCAATGAAATACAGTCATTTTTAAGTGTGATTTAAGCATCCACATTTTTTGAGAAACTTGTGTGTTTGGTCGCTGTTCTCAAACTCTCTGAACCTCTGATGGAGAGTCTATTTAAAGATACAATATCATACCACACCAAACTCATATTAACACAGATACATCTGATTTAACTAAGTGAACTACATTAAATAGGAAGAACAAGTATTATAACAAAAGCAAACATGTCCACAGGGCCTCCATCTTTCACGTGCAGCACAGATAAATGCATGTTCTCTGAAACTCTGTATCTGATCCACACATAAAATATAATCACATTAATCTGAACAATAAATAATAAAATAAGCACTGAGACCCTCCTACACACAGGACAACCATTATTTTATCTTCAGCTGAACACTGTATTAAAAACATAAAATCTAAACGGAAGATAGAGTAGAATATAATGAAATACTCACAGAGCATGAGAGGCAGTGCACTGGACCCCATACTGACACATTAACAGACTGTTTTAACAGTGATGCGTGCGCTAAATAAAACACTTCCTGCGTTTCACAGTTCAAGAAGAGATGAGGGAGGAGACAAAACTCTACACAGAAATACATGAAAAAAAGGAATAAAAAGAGATCAATTTTAAGAGATTTAGCTGCTCTTACAGAGCATGCAAGCTGTTAAAGCTGTTTTTCTCCTCGAAAATACTTTTTCACAGAGAATGTCTCCCAGTAATTGTTCTCACACTGTGAAGTCATTATTTTTGCTTTCTTTGCACACAAAAAGTATTCTTGTAACTTCGTAAAATTACAGTTGAACCACTGATGTCCCGTACTATTTTAATGATGTTCTTACTACGTTTCTATGCCTTTACCATGGTAGGACACTTGCTGTCTATGGAGGGTCAGAAAGCACTCGGATTTCATCAAAATATCTTAAGTTGCTTACAG